TTCTGAACGCCAGTGCCTGATGTTTCTTAAGCACGTTACAGTACGTAATAACGGAAGCGAGAATTTTAACGGGTTGAAGATTAAGCAGGTACGCATGAATTGGCACTGCAGGGTAGAATGAAACTCTGATCATGACGTACCAATTGTCTAGTTAATACGAAAAGGCTAATACGAACGTAAATTCAATTGGAGCACATCTATCCCAACTGGAGTTTTGAAAAAATGCCTCGATAATTAATAGTAATGAACATAGTGAGTTCTCTCCTATAGGTCTTAATTATTTTTTCTAATGTTTTTTTCAGGATAAAGTAAATTTTGTTCACCCTGAATTTTGATTTTTGAAGTTTGACTTTTGATTTCTTTTAATTTCACGCCACTTCCTTTGGCAAAAGATAGGCAAACTCCTCTATCGAAAAGCAAAAAAGTAAAGGTCACGAAATATGTGATCGACCTCTAAATTCGAACATGGAATTTAAACATCAGATTATCCAGAAAAATAATAATTTTATTTATCAATCGAGTCCCAGATCAGAGTGCATTATTTTTTATCAAAAAGGGGTAAACCATAAACTGTTCGGGAAAATCAAAAATTTTAAGGTGTTATATTTTTTCTTATAAACTCAAAAGTTGAAGTATTTCGAAAACAACTCGATTTTTTTTGTTTGCTTACGATCAGTACGCTTTTCCAACTGTCATTTGTCTATGTTCTCCTTAGTGAAAATAAAATTCTTTAAGGATGCTTTTTTTTCTGTCACAATCAAAAAAACTGCTTGCAGCGAGAACTTTCAAGATTTCTGGCAAGGTCATAATGTTTTACATGGGTGTCAGTTTTGTAAAAAGATCATGTCGTTACTGTGCTGAACTTTCGCGATAACCATGGTATTGCTTTTGTGTACTTGAATTTTTCCCCGTAAACAACTTTGTTCACAGAATGGTCATTTTAATAGTAATGGTAGCCAACATTTCTGACATGCTCAAGTTCTTGAATTTCAAATCTTATTATTCTTAATTAGGCAGTGTTTACGTAAAGCCTGTTTCAAATTGTAATTACCTTTCAAGACTTTTTCTCAAGTTACTTGTGGTTGCTCGTGGTTTTCTTCCTAGATTCTGTCAGTTCAAGTTTCGTTTTTTGAACGTAGTTTTTAACCTGCTAAAATTTTATGTGCTAAATTTTAGAATGAAGAGTTTTGTTCCTAAATTTTGAAAAAATAACTAAACTGAAAGTTCAGTAATTTGTAAATTTACCAAGTCTGATTTTGCCTAATTTTTTTTTTCATTTTTTAAAGTACAAAATAAAAAAAGTTATTTGGTCTCTTTCAACATATAATGCGTAGTTTTGAGGACAGAATATGATCTTATACGGTATGTTTTATAGTGTGGATGGGTTGTAAAGTTTTTAGGAACTTCATTAAATTTTTGTATGCCAGCAGGTTTGTTTTCGGCTCAACAGGTTTCGACCTATAATTTTTCGCCTTTGTTACCACTTGGTAAATGATTTCCAATTATTTTTCGGGCTGTTTATGAACATCAACCGATACAACCATGCAGTTTTTTTAACTGTAGTTTTCACAAGTTTGTTTTATAAGTTATTTTTTCAACTTATTTTTTCACTTTTTTCAATTTTGTTTCTGTTTTCTTCATTTTAGCGCAATGTGTAGCGCATTTCGAAAATTTTCGGGCTTGTTTTCAATACTGGCTGTTGTGTTCTGCCCCAGTTTCTTTGAAAATTTTTCGGTTTTTAGACAATTTTTTGAAATTTTTGAATTTTGTTTATTGAGTTTTGTCAGTTTATTCTACAATTCCGTGGCTTCGCCTCTGCGTTTAAATTATTTTTACTAGCGAACTGATTCGAGATTTTTTTTCAAAACCTTACTAGTTCCACTGATTTCTTTGATTTCTTGAAAACGATTTAGCTAACCATATTAATTTATCAAAACATCTAAAAATTTTTAGTAGTTTTATCGTATAAAAAGCGAGTCTAAAAATTGCTTCAAATTTCTGTTTCGAGCAGCTTGTCTATCAAAATTTAACCTTTTTTCGTACAAATGAAAATGAAAAGGAAAAAAAATTGTCTCGAAAAGCTTCAATTATATTTTAACTGTTTTAGTACTGAGAATTCGTTCTTTGATCAGAAAAAAATTGCAAAACTGAGCTTAAGTTTTAGAACCCAAACTCTTTCTAATAGTGTGAGGCCATCTTTTCTGTTCTGATCAATCGTTTCTCGGCTAAAACAGCAGTAAATTATCAAAGCAGTTTATTCAAAATCGACTAGTTTTAAGGCTTTCTTTTCCAGTTACAAAACGTTTCATTTATTTTAACACGCTTGAATCATATTGAAGTTTTTTCAACAGTTTTACGTACTGCATTGAAAAATGGTTTAAAAAAAACTTTAATTGCAAAAAAAAGTTTTGAATCTGACTATAAAAAATCACAACTTCCCGTAGCAAAATAGCTTCATCTCGCAGAGGCGCTGAGACGAACTAGTTCAACAGATTGTTTTTAAAATGTTTTTAATGTAACTTTTCCGATGTCTGAAAAAAAATCATGAGAAACTTTACCCATGTTTCCATATGTGATATCTGTTTCGACCAACCCACTAAGTACAAGAAACTATGGCGTTAGGCGTTTTTTCCTCTACGTTTGATTTGTTCAAAATTGTTTAGTCAAGTTTAGTCTGTCAAGTTAAGTGTCACGTTTAAGTCATTAAGATTTAGATTTGGATTCGAAAAAAAATTTACGAAAAGTTTTCCATGTCCAGAAAGTTTAGTCTGATTATTTTAGTTTGCAGACCAAACTAGGCAATGTTTGATTATATGCTAACTTTCTGCAATTTTGCTTCTACTATATCTTTATCATCATTTAAGTTATATTAATAATCATTTTCCGCTTTTTTAGAAGGAATTTAGTGACCTTAGTCATCTTGAGAAAGTTATATCGAAAGAAATCTATTAAGCAGCCCAACAAAGTTATAGGATCGTAAAACATTCAAAAATTTGCGTAAAATTTCTGAAGTTTGTTTTCAGCCAAAGACTTTTATTTTTATATAGTAAAAATGACCTTTTGGTTATCAACCAGAAACATATTCTCTTGTACATTTTTGGGAAATTTTTTTTTTTAGAAATTTGTCGAGTTGTGAAAGAAATTTCTTTTGATCTAATTTCTCTTCAGCTAACTAGGTAGTTTCAATTTAATTCTTGATAAGTTAAAAAGAAAAAACGAAAATTTTTTTGTCCAGTTTTAAACAAATTTGAGCAAACGTGTTTGAATTTTCAAATTTTGTTCTTTTTGTCTATATAGTTTAAATCAGCGCGGTAGCCAAACGTTTCAAAGTCAAAATGCTAATAAAACATCATTACTACTGGAAAATAAAGATAAAAAATAACATGTTTAGCTGCAAATCAACTGGCAAATGGTCAACATCAATTCCCCGTGAGTTTTGTATGAACTCCTCTTTTGCCCTCACTTGTTATAGCCTTTAAAAGATTAAGGAACTGCAAAAGTTTCACCCCTCTCACGGTTTTTGGCTCTAACAAAACAGGCACAGCGCGGCGGTTTTCAGTTCCATTGGAGGAAATTTTTTTTTGAATTTTAGTATAATAAAACAGTGACACGTTCATCGATAAAAGTTAGAATCAAACATAAGTGAAAAAACAAGTATGGAAATATGATTGGACAAAAAATGTGAAAAAGTTAGGCTCTAAACGTGCAATGGGCAAAACGTGATACATTCCCGCCGGTAGGCCTCGAATATATAGTAAGTAACTGCTTATGGACTTGCTCATCAAATTAGATCTGAAAAAAATGCTATTTGTTGTCATTAAATCTCTGTGGTGTAAAATATACATGTACGAGTGATAATAGATAGCAGCTTTTTGCCAGGAATTATTCGAATTTTCCCGAATTTTCTGTGAACTAAATATCGTGTTTTTTTGAAGAGCTTTCATACATGTAAGAGTTTAGTCAAAAACTTTTTTAAGACTGTTATCATGGCTTATGGTCATTTTCAAGCCTTTTCTAACAACCGCGTGTACACGAAAGCAGCGTGAGCGTCATATTCAATCACGTATATTTTTTGAATGTATTCGCCAGAGACGCACGTGAAATTATAAATGCAATTTTTTGTAATGTACAGAGTTTAAACTGTCTTTCAGTTTTTCTATATGTGTATTAATAAACAGATTCTTATATCTATCACAATATGGTGATAAAATAGTCAATTTAACACACTTTAGAAAAAATCCACGTAATCTTCTTACTTTATTGAAATTACTCTCAACAATGGCTTTTGAGAAAGAAAAACAAACCATTTACGATTCAAAGTTTGAGGAATTATTGGGACAAACGAGAGATCTGATTGGACGAGAAAATCAATTTCAATCGGATCCGAATGCACTCTCTGAAGATGACTTACAATTGAACATGGTCAAAATTTTTGTCCATTTATTTTCCGATGGATCAGTTCAAAATTGGCTCAAGTTGCAAAAGTTTCTCCAGTTTTTAACGGAGAAAAAAGTAGTTTTCAAGGAGTTAAGTGAACAGTTAGAACATTACACTTACAGATTGCTGTTTCAATTAGAGTTTTCCAGTGGCGAGTTTACTCAGAAGAATTTTTTGTCGGATTTGAAAATCAGAGTCCACAAAGTTTTCCCGAAGTTTGCATTTGTGAAATTACTGAACGCCGAAGACTTCGTGGACTACGAGTATAAACGACACAGAGGGAAACAGAACAAGAGCAATTATTTTGAGGTGAAATTTTTTCTTGCGTGTTTTTGTTTTCGTTGGTTCAGCTCGAAATTGACAAAAGTAAAGCAGATCACAGAGCAAACTTTTGAATTTTTACAAGGTATGTAGTGCGGATGGTGCTGCTGATTTTTGTTTATCGTTATTCTTAGGCGGAGCAAAAATGTATTTTGATTGTGAGTTAGGATCGATGTGGTTAACTCATAGAGTAATTTCGGATAGGGTACACCGTCTGCTCGTCACGCTATCTTATTTTCGGCCGGATAGATTCGTGCAACTTCTTAGTCTAATACCGATCCTAATCTTACTCTTATACTATCTAGTCTCAGGTTGTTTAACTAGTCTCTGCTAGGCTCAATAGATCTAGGGTATACTGGTTTATTGCGGCTGCTGAAGTTCTCTTGGAGAGGCAACTAATTTCTAAGTTAAATTCAAATCTCTCTGGTGCTGAAATTACAAGTAATTTCAGCACTTACAAATAAGTGGGTTGTTAGTTAAATGGATCATGATTGGTTAATATTAAATACTTTACAGTGGTAAAATATCTAATTTATCCAATCATAAAATATAGTTTAGATCAGGTTCCACCCATCCGGGTTTTACAGAGTTTTTTAGAATAGTCTTTCTGCAATTCAAAGGATGGATGATGAACGTTGGTATTTGGCGAACATCATATTTCTTCTGGGTTCTCTTGTTAGAGAAGTTCCAGGTTCAATCGCTGTGTCTTCTCATGACAACGACTGGGTTTTCGCAACAAACTCAAATCTGATTTCAGAATGGTTGGCTATGACAGGTTTTTCTGTTTCATGTAGAGAACTTCTTTTGGGTTGACCTTGTCTGGGAATGGCGTGGAGATTGTGCGTGGAAGGGATGCCTGGTTACTCGGATCTGTACGTATACTTGAACATCGAGGTGGTCATTGGTCTAGTTCAATGAAGTCCTTTTCTGCGAAGTCAAGTCGTACTCTAAATCCTTTGAGTTGTGATTGTGGGCGGCATATTGATTGTGGTTGGCCATTCTTTTTCGAGTGTAGTGGGTCATTTTGTCTTTGGATGTTCGTCTTTGGTGTTGTATGCTGATCTATATACTGCAAGGTGTAATTTACATTTTATAAAATTTTTATTAGTTTGGTGTTTTAATTATGATTTTGGTTAGTTGTTTTCACAAAAGCTTTTTGTTTTAGTTCGGTTATTTTGAAGAGTTACTCACCCTTGAGTACCTCTTATTAAAAATAGGAGTGTGGTCACAAAGCGTGGATGTAGCGCGGTGGGTTAGGCCGGCTATAGAGCATGCTCAGGACGTCCTCTCTGGTGGGTTAGGCCAGGAGTGGGAGTATGATTTCGTGCGGTTTCTGTAAGAGGTCCTGTTATGTGATAACGTTTTATGTTGGGTTTATTGTGGTTTTTCTTATGTTTCGTTGGTTGTGTCCTTTTTTCAAAAATCAAATTGTTTTTGGTATGGGTTTGTCTTTCGACTTTTTTGTGTTTTATTATTTCTTTCTTAGACTTTATAATAGTCTTAAAAAGAATAAATTATCCAGTTTTAAACTGGGTTAATCCGGTTTGGGTACCGTTGGTTTCCTTTTCTTAGTCATGCTGTTATTCTATGATTTGTGGTGTTTAGTAAGCTGCATTGGTTAGTTTTGTTTAGTATATAATTCCTTTCCAACCGGGTTAAAGGAAAGTTAGAACGTGTTATCGTGTGTTAGAGTTGTTGAGTGTGAAAGCTTGAAACTGAAATTCATTATTTAAACAATTCTTCGTGGGCGAGCTGTGCGGGTTTGGATAGAATTTTTGTGCGAGTGAATAGAAATATAAAAAGGTTAGTACTGCATTTTCGTTTTATCAATTTACTACATAGAATTTCAATTTTACTGCTAGTTTTTGGGAAAAATTAAGTTGCAAATTTTCATTATTATGAGATTTACTGCTTGTAGGGAAACAATTTATAAATTAATTTAATACATTGGTATGAATTTTATTGAATTTAGCTGGTGCAAAATATTAATAGAGTTTTGAACAATTTGAAGAAGTTTTCTATTTTTTATTTTTCTTTTGTGTATTTTGCAGATGATCGTGGGATGAAGACTAAAAATCTAAATAAGACATGGATAAAGAATGGTTAGTTTTTTAATTTGAATTTATTAGTTAAGAATATGTATAAATTATACTTACCTGTTAGTCGTCGGGGAAAAAACCGTGGGGGAAGATGTCGTGTATTATGTCGGAATTAGTTAGTAATTTTGCTAGTATGCGAATGATGTTTTTAGTTTGAAGCAGTGGCCAAAGCAATTGAAGTGCTTTAATGGTTTTTAGTTCTTCAGTGCCAACTGCAAACTCATAAGGTGTGTTTTGGATGAGATTATATAATTTGTGATTGTATTTAGTGTTGTGGATGAATTCTAATATCGGGATTTCTATAGGTTGAATAAATTCATGTGGGATAAGGAAGGGTCTGGATTCTTCTGCGTTGAAGGTCTTGGTGATTGGACAAAAAATATACATTTGGGTTATGGGATCATAATTTCGAAGAATACCATGAAGGTTAGTATCTTTAATGCAATATGTGAAGTTAAGAAAGAATGGTGAGGTGTATTTGGAATTGATGAATTGAAAACGATGGTGCTAATGATGCGGTATAAGCTGAAGAGGGTGTAGGAGTAGGTGGGTTTGATGATTCTATTGTGGATGAAATCTGGTTTATAGTGGGGGTGTCAAGGTGGAAGGGTTGTTGTTATAGAGTGATAAAATTATCTAGTTCTTGGGAGATTTGGGGGGTGTCTGGAGAATTGGATGATCAGTCTGAATGAAGTGAAGAGTAGGTTGGGGTGACTTGTGAAGCATAAGAGGGTGTAGAAATGGATGGGAGTGGGTTATTTGGTGGGATTGGTTGAAAAGGGGGTTTTGAAAAAACTGAGGGATTGGTTTGAAAATTATTGGATGGAGATGGTTCAGAGTCTGCAAATTCATCAGGGGTTTCAATATTTGGGTTTTTGAGTTGTGAAATGGAGTATAAAACTGAGATATGTGAATTAGTGTCTGAATTCATGCCTGATGTTATATTATTGGTTGGGAAATCGGGTGGCGGGAAAGCAAAAAGTGGAATTATTGTAATTGGAGTGTTGAGGTTGGTTGGGTGGGAATTTGAGCGGTGTAGGGATCCAAGTTGTCGGCTCATCGTGGGCTAAAAAAATTATTATTTTGAGACTGAAAAGTGGTGGTATGGGGTTGTTCTATAATTTTTTCATATGTATTTTCATCTAGTGAATGGTGTGTCATTATATGTTGAATGGGACTTTGTGATATGGTTGGTCTAAAATTTGGATTATGTGTTATTGCTAAATTTCGAAAATTTTGTGGGACTAGTGATAATGGATGGTTATGCGGTAGGGGTGGTAACTGTGGTGCTGTAGGCGTTATGTCTACATTGTTATGTTCTTCGTCATATGTGTTCTGTCTTGCTGCTATTTTTGTGTTGTATTCTTTTATTTGTGCGTCTAAAAGAATTTTGTTTATTGATGATGAAAAAATTCCAAAAAATCCTGCAAATAGTATGCGTGCTACACTTGCTTGTCTATTTACTTGTGTGTGTATAGCGCATGTATTGTAGATTCCTTTTAAGAGTGAAAAAAGAAATCCTATAAAGTTAAACATTGCGTATAAAATAGTTAATTTTTCCAAGATGTAATAGGGCCATCCTAGAAAATCAAGAATTTCGTTTTTGAGTGTAACAAAGCTAAAAATATTTATAGGTGAGATATCTTGTGGTCGGTATATTTCACCGTTTAGATATATATAGTCTTTAATGTCTTTAAAATATCCGCTATAATCTTGTGTATAAATATCTGCAAATCCTGCGGTTTCGGCAAGTTTGCGTAAGTTTTGGTCAATTGATTGTCTTTGTATAGTGTCCATTTGTGTTAATAATTCTTGGAATTGTTGTGTTCTAATGTGATGTTGGATATCGGATTTTGAATATATTCCAATTGATTGTAGGTCAATATTTGGGTTTCGAGCAATAGCTCTAATGCTTTCAGGTGAAAATTTTTTGAGTGATTGCAATAATGTGGGATATGGGGTAAGAAGGTAATATTTATCTTCATCAGGGTTCAGTTGTACTACATTGTGGCTATTTTCTGATCCACATGGGACTGCGGTATCCCAGAAATAGGTTCGTCTTGAAAGTGTGTCAACGAAATGTACTTTATTCTTATAAAAGATAGGGATTCTTTTATAGCATCGTTTATCTTCAAAAACATATAGTGGTGATACTTTTTTGGTACAGGTATAAAACCATAAAACGTTTCCTTCGTAGTCTAAAAAATTTGATCTATTGCTTGATAGTAAATATCCTGCGTAGGGTATTTTTAATACTGCTAGTGCAAGTGATTGTAGGATTTGTGTCCTTTCTAATTCGCATAGTTGGTGAAGTGTTTCTAATTCAGCGAGTGACATTTCTTGAAAAATGCGGCTAATTGTGTAGTCTAATTTCATATCTAGGTGAATATCATAGTGGATATTACCGAAATATGTACTATTCATTAGTGATAGTTCTTGTAAACGTGTGCTTCTAGTGTCATGGGGTTTTAGATGTCCACCAGGTTGACCTTTACTTTTTTGAAAATTAACTGGTATATATGATGTTCCTTCGTTTATAGGATGACTTGTGGCGTATGGGTCGATTTTTATTTTTCCAGTGGTCATGTCGAATCCTTTTTCGTATTCAACTAATATTTCGGAGTATTGTGTTTTGTGAAGTGGGTTTCTATATTTACATGCAAGTTCTGTTTCTTGATATATTTGAAAACGTGTCAATTTATTTTCTATATTGTGTATGTTCCTAAAATTAGAACTTTGTTTTCGTGATGGATTTACTTGTTCATATGGAACTGACTGTATAAAATATTTTTCGTGAAATTTTATCATACGAGCGTGTATTTTTGCTACTTGAAATGTTGTACATGTGTCTTCGGGGAACCAAACAATTGTTGCTTGTGTTCGTGTTGT